AACTCAGCACAGGACAGGGATGAGTGCTGGGGCAGCCACTGGGGGACACCAGAAAGCACCAGTCACTCCCAGTATGGACCAGTATACACCAGTAACCTCCCAGTATAGCCTAGCACGTCCCACTGCCCTCCCAATCCTCCCCCCGCCACCGAGTCCTTCCCAGTGCCCTCCCAGTGCCCCACAGATACTCCCCTGTTCCCCCTGGTGCCTCCCGGTTCATCCCAGTACCGTGCCAGTGCCTCCCAGTATGGCCCAATGCCCTTCCAGTAACCCCCGGTGCCTCCCAGTACCGTTCCAGTGCCCTCCCAGTCCCTGTCCCCTCCCAGTTCTCCCAATCCTCTCCCCATCCATCCCAGTGGCTCACTGGGCGCTGGCACTGGGGGCAGCAGCACTGGTGGCACTGGGGGCACTGGGCAGGGCCTCGATCACCCTCGAAGATGAAGCCAAAGGAGCACTGGGAAGTTACAAAGAAATCAGCATAAACCAGTAAAATCCAGTGACCTCCCAAGTCCCCTCCAAGTCCATTCCAGTCTGTCCCAGCGTCTCCCAGTATAGCCTGCTAGGGGCCAGTGCCCTCCCGAAGACCTCCAAGTATGGACCAGTAACCTCCCAATCCCCTCTCAGTATAGCCCAGTATGGCCCAGTGCCCTCCCACTGCCTCCCAGTATGGACCAGTATAGCCCAGTGCCCCCCCCCAGATCCCTCCCAGTATGTCAGAGTATGAATCAGTGATCTACCAGCGCCCTCTCAGTGCCTCCCAGTATAGCCCAGTGACCTCCCAATCCCCTCCCAGTCCCCTATAGATCCCTCCCAATAATGTCCCAGTGCCCTCCCAGTCCTTCCTAACCCTCTCCCAGTGCCCTCCCACTCTGTTCCAGTACCTGAGGACACCAGAGGAAATGGGGGTCCCTGAGCAGTTCCAGCTCTGCCAGTTTCTGGGTCACTAGGCCAAAGGTCTCAGGGTCCAAACAGCGTCTGAGCTGCACCAGTAAGGACCAGTTAGGACCGGTAAGCCATCAGTAAGTCCCAAACCTCCTACCAGTAACTGAAAATCCCACAACAGTAAGGAAAAACCCCAAACCATTAACTCACCAATAAGGCTAAACTCCAAACCAGTAAGGTCAAATGGTTTCAGTAGCTCTAAACCTCCTCCCAGTAGCTCCCAGTAACCCTATAGCCCAAACCAGTAAGGCCAAATCCCAAACCAGTAACTCCAAAACCCAAACCAGTAACCCTGAGCAGCCTCCCAGTAGCTCCCCGTACGCCTATGACCATCCCAGTTAGCCCAAACCCCAAAACAGTCCCTCTCAGTGCCCACCCAGTCCCCTTCCAATCTACTCCCAGTATAACATAATCCCCTCCCAGTCCATCCCAGTTGCCTCCCAGTCCATCCCAGTTGTTTCTCAGTACATCCCAGTGACCCTAAATTCCCTTCTAACACCCTTTAGGTCCCTTCAAATTCCCCCCCAGTGCCCTCCCAGTCCATCCCAGTTGCCTCCAAATCCCCTCCCAGTACATCCCAGTATAACCCAGCGTCCTCCCAGTATAACCCAGTCCCCTCCCAGTATAACTCAGTGACCCTTTTAACGCCCTTTAGAGCCCCCCCAGTCCCTCCAATCCCTCCCAGTTTGTCCCGGTGCTCCCGGTACCTGCGGTTCCAGCATGGACGAGTGGCAGAGCCTCCACTGCCAGTCCCTCCCAATCCCCTCCCAGTACATCTCAGTCCTTCCCAGTACCCCTAAATCCCCTTCTAATGCCCTTTAGAGCCCTCCCAATCCCCTCCAAACCCTCCCAGTCCCTCCCAGCGGTCCCAGTACCTGCGGCTCCAGCGTGGACCAGTAGCAGAGCCGTTGGGCCTCGTCACGTAGGTCAGGGTGGGCACAGCTGGGGCAGCCCAGGGCCCACACTCCCCTCTCCCTCACGCCCACCGTGAAGTGTAGCCGGAAACACTCCGGGCACAGGGGGCAGGAGCATCCCGGGAGCCACTGCATCTATGGGGCAACCAGTAGAAACCAGTATAAACCAGTAACAAACCAGCTAGACCTACAGAGTACAGGAAAAGAATTGGTGCTATCACCCTGTGGTCATAGATGAAACTATAGCTACTAATACACAGATACTACTGAGTTCTAACAGATCCCAGTAGCTCCCAGTAAGCCTAAACCCACTCCCAGTATGTCTCAGTAACCCTATATGAACTCTCAGTAAGCCCAAACCCCAAACCAGCAAGTCCTAGTACCTTAAAAGCCCAAACCAGTAACACTGACTACATGTCACTAAGTCTAAACCCCTTCCCAGTAAAGTCAAACCCCAAACCAGTAAGTCCCAGTAACCATAAGCACCTCCCAGTCCCTCCTAGTCCCCTCCCAGTGCCTCCCAACCCCTTCCCAGTGCCTCCCAGTACAAACCAACACCTTCCTAGTACAAACCAACATAAACCAGTACAAACCTAAGCCCAGGGCGGTGCCCAACCACACACTGCACGCTCCCCCCCAACCCCCGCCGAGGCCCTCCCAGTAACCCTCAATCCCCTCCCAGTGCCTCCCAGTCCCTTCCCAGTGTCCTCCCAGCATAAACCAGCACCTCCCAGTCCCCTCCCAATGCCTCCCGGTACCCTTCCAGTGTCTCCCAACCCCTTCCCACTGCCTCCCAGTGCCTTCCCACCCCAAACCTGTATGAACCAGTACAAACCAGTACAAACCTGAGCCCGGGGCAGCGCCCAACCACACACTGCACACTCACACCTGAGCCTCCTCCTCAGGGCGCCTCGGTCGGCACAATCCCTCACAGCCTCCACCAGCTCTCCCAATAAGCCTTCGCTACTGGGATCCACTCGGCCCAGTCCCAGTTCGTGACCCAAACTGGCCACCAGTAACGCTCGACCCCAACTGGCCACGGACAGCGTGGCCAGGATGCGTCTCACCAGAGCCTGGGGAAGACCAGTATGGACCAGTAAGCTCCCAGTAAGGCCAAATCCCCTCCCAGTAGCTCCCAGTAAGCCCAAGCCCCAAACCAGTAAGGTTAAACATCAAACCAGTAAGGAAAAAGCTCAAACCAGTAACTCCCAGTAAGCCTAACCCACGTCCCAGTAGCTCCAAACCACATCCCAGTAGGTCCCAATAAGGCCAAACCCCAAACCAGTAAGTCCCAGTAATTCCCAGTAACCTCCAAAGCCAATCCCAATTTCTCCCAGTGCCTTCCCAGTATATTCCAGTAACCCCCTAGAGTCCTCTCAGTGCCTCCCAGTTCGTTCCAGTAACCCTCCAGTGCTTCCCAGTATGGCCCAGTGACCTTCCCAATGCCTCCAGGGCCCTCTCAGTAATCTCACAGTACGGCCCAGTAACTGCCCCAATCCCCTCCCAGTGTCTCCTAGTGACATCCCAGTCCTCTCCCAGTGCCTCCCAGTCCCCTACCAGTTAGAGTGCAATGCCCCCTCAGTGTCCTCCCATTAACTCCCAGTCAGATGCCAATGCCCCTTCCAGTGCCTCCCAGTCACTCCATTAGACCCAATGCCCCCTCAGTGCCGCCCCAGTGCCTCCCAGCCCCCTCCCACTAACTCCGAGTTAGATCCCAATGGCTACTCAGTCCCCTCCCAGTGCCCCCCAGTAACTCCAGTTAGATCCCAACGCCCCCTAAGTGCCCTCCCGATAACTCCCCGTCAGATCCCTATGCCCCCTCAGTGCCCTCCCAGTCACATCTCAGCGGAGCCCAGTCCTCTCCCAATAACTCCGTTAGATCCCAATGCCCCCTCAGCGCCCTCCCAGTGCTCCCAGTTCACCTGCTGGTCAGGGCAGTCGAAGTCCAGCGCCTCCTGTGGCAGGCAGCTGTGGCAGCCAGAGGCGCTGCTGGAAGGGCCTGAGCCGGTGGCGCTGGAGGTCCCTGAGCGCCCCCCAGAGGTCACCCCCGTTGTGCTGCAGCGCCTGAGCCGCCTCGGGGCGACCGGTGAACCCCAGGGACGACAGAGCTGCCAGCTGCGACCAGTACAAACCAGTAAGAACCAGTACACGCCGAGAAGAACCGGCAACAAACGCTACAGGCAGGTATAAACTAGTATAACCCACTCGAACGGGTAAACCCGGTGTCCCGTGGGTAGTCAGGGTCTGGCGGCCGAAGATATCGCGATGTACGGAACGATAGGGCCCTGCCCTGTTAGCTCTGACGGCCGATCGCGTTGAGCTTAGGGTGTAAGCAGACAGAAGTGACGTTGTAAAACCCAAGGGTTTTTCCAGACTGGCAACGACAAAGCAGACGTCGCCGCAAAAGTGGCCGCTAAGAGATGCGCGTCAGCTACGCGAGTCCCTCCACATCGGAGCCAAAGCGTTAGCGAAGAAATGCGCCATCTCAGTCGCCGACGCCAAACACTTAGTAGCCACCTGTCCTCACTGTCAAAAAACACCACTGTGGCCCAGTGGAGTCAACCCCAGAGGTCTTAAGGCCTCCGAGGTGTGGCAGATTTGACGCTCTGTCAGCTGCGGAAACCCCCAGCGCGGTTAGCAGTAACTATAGATACGCATAACGGAGCGATCGTAGCCACACAACACCGTAAGACCGACTCTAAAGCGACCACCCAACGCTGGCTGACAGCCACGGCGTGGCTCGGCGTCCCTAATCAGATTAAAACAGATAATGGTCCAAATTTCGTTTCTAAATCAGTCCAGGCATTTGCTCTGAAATGGGGTATCGCCCTAACACGTGGCACTGCACACAACAGCACAGGACAAGCCATAGTCGAACGAGCGAATCAAACCCTGAAATCCAAACTGGAGGTGTTGGCAAAACCAGAAGGTTTTACCAACGCCATTCCCCCAGGAGACCAAGCGTGTCCGCTAGTGACCACCCTTTCAGCACTAAATCAATTTCCCAGGGGAGAAGAGATAAACAGCTCCACCCAAAAACACTGGGCCACTCGAGCACTAGAAGAAGACCCGACGGTCATAATCAGAAACGAGCTGGGAGAATGGGAACAAGGGTGGAGGCTAGTCCTTACAGGGCAAGGGTATGCCGCTGCCAAAAAAGATGGAAAAGTTAAGTGGTGCCCACTTAAATCCATTAAAGCAGACCTTCAGAATAAAACTCGTGAAAACTGTGAGTTTTTGTTCACAGGACTGGACTGTCGGCCGCCCTCGTGACCCGTATGCCCCAGTGACAAATGAAGACGAGTCGACAAGCATCCTGTGCACACCTGGGAGTTCCACACCAGTGGAATCCGAACGACATCATGGCCCCCGTGGGAGGGGGCAGAGATACCTTTGTGTAATCCTGATCTTAGAACTTGTTACTGTAAGACAGGTCGGATCGGAACACCACCCCCATCAACCTTTTAAATGGACCCTACGCCGGTTGGAGGATCAGCAGATCGTCGCAACCCAAATAACATCGGGAGGACCAATCTTTAATTCCACTTTGTGTCAGCTTGTCCCAAGACCTCGATGCTGGGATTCCCTGGGATTTTATACGTGCCCTAATTCAAATCCCGGAAGGGATACGGTAACTACCCTAATACTGTAGTCACTGGGGTTGTGAGACCATAGCCCCCAGCTGGATACCGGGCAGTGGTATAGATAAATATTTAAAGGTTCAGTGGGGCCCATGTGGGTGCAAACCACCGCAGAGGATGTGGAAATTGTCAGTACCTCTTCTTAAATGTCACCAACCC